GAGGGAGATTAAGTTTCTAGCAGGGCTTTGACCCGTAATTTTTCCTGTCCGGTTGTGGTTCTGGGTCACCTAAATTTTAAAAATTTCGGTCTGTTTCAGTGCGGCCTCTTCTGCCACGACTGAACCAGGAAGAACTGATTTGAAGCCCTGCTACTGTGGGGCATCTTACTGGGAGGGCCATGGAGGATGAGGCTTTTCGGCCCCAGAGATCTGAGTTTCAATCACAGCTCTGCCACTGACAAAGTGACACTGGGTAATTCACTTCTCTGATCTTCCATCTGATCCTCCATTTAACCTTAACTCAAAAATAAAAAATATACCTCTCAGAACTGTGGGGGGATCTTGGAAAAGTGTCTTGTAAACTGGGAATAACTGGAGGCAATGGAAAGAATCATTCTCTGTAGTCAAACAGGCCTGGATTCGTTAAACAAAAACAAAAAATTTAGTGCTCACCTACTGTGTGCCAGGTACTGTTCTAGATTCTGGGAATGTAGCAACAAATAAAACACACAAGATTCATGTTTTCATATAATTAACATTCTAGCATTCTGGTTTCTGAGACATTCATTCAGTCATTTACAAATATTTTTCTGATTCTCCTATGTGCTAGGCACTTTTCCCAAGCAATGGGCATAGGGGGTCATCCAATATGGGTGGAACATAGGGTGCAAGGAGGAAGGGATTGGGCAAGGCAGATCCAGGCTTGCAGGGGCTGAAGCTTATACAATTTAGGGTACTCTTTAAGAAAAAGAATACAAAGTCACAAATACAGAATTAGGCTAGATGGCAGTAATCAAGGGCTTATATATCTGGGTGGCACAAATGGTTAAGCACTGATTACTAGCCAAAAGGTTGGTGGTTCAAACCCACCCAAAGACTCCTCAGAAGACAGGCCTGGTGATCTGCTTCCGAAAAGTCACGGCCTTGAAAACTCTGTGGAGCAGTTCTACTCTACACCACCCACAGTTCTACTCTGCACCACCTTGAATCAGACAAAAACAACAATTTACAAATTTTAAAAATCTGACAAATGTCACCAAAACCCAAAGGAAACCAAACCTGTTGTCGTTGAATCCATTCTAACTCATGGTGACCCCATGTGTTACAGAGTAAAACTGAGCTCCATAGGATTTTCTTGGCTGTGATCTTATGGAAGCAGATCCCCAGGCCTTTCTTCTGCGGTGTTGCTGGGTGGGTTCAAACTGCCTACCTTTTGGTTAGTAGTCGAGCAATAACTGTTTGTGCTACCCAGGGACCTACAAATATCACATCATCATAAAATCTAGAACCATAGTATGACATTTTTATTAATTAACTGCATGACATGGCTTCATAATACTTTTCTTTCTACTTTTTTTTTGCTACATATTCTATTCATAAGACAATGATTTATTGTATGGAAGATAATGCAGTCTTTCATCTATATGGTTTATTGACTTTTTAATGGGTACTTTAACCAATTTTCTTTAAGTTGTAAAGGTCAGTGTCAAGCAAATTCTGGGGATTACTGGCAAATTTGAAAAAACCTCCATGGAGTTTCCTTCATATATGAATTGCAAGATTTTAGGGAATTTAAAGTTTTCTTGTACAGTGACTAATTTTAAATACTCTTTGAGTTGACAGCACGTTAACCAACTTATTGTTGATGTCCCCATTGTAGTGGCATATTATCTTCATGGCAGTATTTCATGTCAAATCAGGAAGATATTTAAATCTTTTTCCAGTATATTTATATGATTCACTCTTTTTAATTAATTTAATTATCGAACAATCCATGAGTCTATTCATTACTTTGACTTGAAATTTATCTATTCCTCTCAATGAATTACTACTTTTGGTATGATCTGCAGGCCAATTCACCTGTAAAGCACCAGACATAACTAGGACAGATTTGCCAAGTAAGGGATGACCCAATATAATGAGATCGTAAAACATGCAACCTCCCACATGGATGTACTTGCTGTTTGTAATATTGCTACATGTCTATGCCCTACAAACACAGGACTCTGATATCTTCTCATTGGTGCAATTCTTATTTGAAAAGAAGAAAAAAATGAGCAGTGCATCCATAACTGAATTTCTGCACTGCTAAATATATTTCCGACAGGAAAGAACTTCTACTTTAATCAGGCTTCAACGAGAATCAAATCCTCTGCTTATAATTTAACATGTCTGATGATTGGAAAAATTGTCCGTAGACTAGCTTCTGGCTCTGTATGTTTCAAACTGTTTCCCGTCCACTATGTACATATTTCTGATGCTGCACCTTCATGTCACAGTGAAGGGTAAGTCAGCACAGTGGGCAGTAGGAGTATTCCTGGATGTCATTCCTACACTGATAGATAGCAATGATTTGACTATAGATAGAAGTGAGTGTAAACCACATAAATAGATCCCTCTGAACCTGAATTAAATGTACCCCCAACTCATCTCTGCCTTAGCTGCATCCCTTAGATGCTCCACTTCCACCAACACAGTGTGACAGAGGGAGAGTCAAAGTGGAAAGCGAGACCAGTCTTAAAGGCTGACAGTTACATATCTTCTGCAAAGTTTACAAAAACATACGCTCATGTGAATACATTGCTGTTTCTCCCAGGGCTTTGGAGGGGTCAGTGCAAGTGTGAGCCCTGAAACTGAAGATTCTTTGTTGTCAAGTTAAATCCACCCATATGAAATGAAGCTACAACAATAAGGAGGACACCATGCAGGGCCTTGTAGTTGGTAGAAGGGAGTTTGGGTTTTATTCTAAGAGCAACAGGGAGATTTTCAAAACTCTTTGCCATTGAGTCGATTCCGACTCATAGTGACCCTGTAGGACAGAGTAGAACTGCCCCGTAGGGTTTCCTAGGCTGTAAATCTTTATGGAAGCAGACTGCCACATCTTTCTACCACAGAACGGCTGGTGGGTTCAAATCGCTTAACCACTGTGCCCCTAGGGCACCACAGGAAGACTTACAGGGCTTTAAGGGGGGTAGGCAGGGGTAACATGGTTCAGTCTATATTTTTCAGACTTCTCAGGCTTTGATGTGGGGAATTGGCTTTAGGGAGGCAAACAACATCAGGGAGATCACTGAAGAGGCTGCTGGAGACTTTCCAGGAGAGAGGCAGCTTATACTAGGTTGGAGTGGGTGGAAGCAGTGAGAACTGGATGGCTTAAAGTCATATTTGAAGGTAGAGTGATGGGCTTGCTGATCGATTGACATTCAGGTAGAGGTGAAGGTGGTGTCAAGGATGTCTCCCAGATGTCTGCTTGAGTGGTAGCTGTGACATCATTCCCTGAGTTGGAAAATAGGAGCTAGACCTGATTTTGAAGCCTGTCTCCATGATTCCCAACTATTTGACCCCGGACATGTTGCTTCTCTCTGGGCTATTTCCTCATCGGCAAAATGGGGGAAACTGTAATAATTACCTTGTGAGGTTGTTTGGAGAGTAAATGAGACAACCTAGGGAAATGCCCAGCAAGGAGTCTGGCACCTTATCAATAACCTATATATTGGCTTCCATTATTATTCCAAGATTTATTAGTATTTACTATGAAGCGCTAAGTAGGAAAGCGGCCCTGGATCCTTATGCTGTCATGATTTTTTTTCTCAGCTTCTAGCAGCTTCTGGCTTTGGCTATCGAAAGCTGTGGTATTTCCGGCAGGAAAATGTTTGTGTCACCAAAGGGTGGGTCAGTGTGAATCCTCTTTTTCATAATAGCTAGTATTTACTGAACACTTATTATTGCGAGATACTCCTTGACATGCTTTATCTCGTTTATTTCTTGCAGTACTTTATG